ATCAAGAGAATCATGAATCTAATCTTATAACTTGGATTAGAGGTAACATCATCTCCTTACCTAGCTTACTTTATGCTTTCATGATGGAATTTGAGGTAGTGATGAGACCTTTGTTCTTAGATGCTCCCATGTTTATAAAATTTATATATTGATTTCATGGTTAATTACTTGAATACTAGAATACGATCGTAAACCCTAGTTTAGGTGGATTGTTAAAAAATTGGAATTGAACTCATGTCTTGATGAATTAAGACACGTAAACAAGTCATTCATGGAGTATAATTATTTGAGTAGAGGTGAGTGTGGTGTGGTTATTTGCTAAAACCGAACCGCTAACCGCTAGCGCGGTTATTAAATTACATAAACCGAATAGTGCAGTTAATGTAGCGGTTTGAATATTTTAGGCGGTTCGGTTTTATGCGGGTGTGGTTGCGGTTTTTGACCGCATGCGTTTTGGGAGGTTTTTAACCTATAAGATTTGATTAGTTTTTTGCAATTTTAAGATTTCAAACCAAGATGGGTTCTACCAACTCAGCTATAAAACACATAACTTAAACAAACTTGTTTGGAATCTATAAAACTCAATCGATACAAGGTCCAAATCGGTTAGATTAAGTCCCAAATTAGGCAAACTCAACCAATAAAAACGTAGAACTAAAAAATTCGACTAAAAAACAGGGTTTATATCTGGTCTAATATGGATTTTAAAAAACTCATTAATTTTAACTTGACTTCTTTGTAAAGGAGAAGCTTAATTATAAGTGAAAATTTGTTGCTAGTGATGTGGGATACCTTCCCACAAAGAAAAATGCCACTTTTTTTTTTATTATTCTTAATCATTTTCTTTCCCTTGTTTTCCTTCTTTTAGCTTTGATATAATCCATTCTAACTAAAACTTATAATCCACTCTTATCCATGAAACTCGTGGGGATCTTTCGGGTTAAAAAATAAGTTAGGGATCAGGCGCAAATTACCCTACACCATAGGGACCATTCGTGTAATTTACTCATTTATTCCATTTCTTCATTTTAATAATAATATTTTGTTAATTAGCTTTATTTTATTATGTTCTTCAACATTTTGTTCTTAATTTTCGTTTATTTTTAATTTCTTTTTAACGAACTCATCCTAACTTTCTAAACTTTGGCAACCACCTTTCTAACATTTCCTATAAACGTTATATGTGCTTATTATATAATTAGATTAAAACTAAGTTCCCTTAGGAATAGGTGTTCCCTTAGGAGCAATGCCTCTTCCATTCACCTTCTGCCATTTGTTTTTCGCCACTGCTCGACCTATTGTCCACCGTCGGGTCTTCCAATCAGAAGAAGGTAATTGTTATTCATCGTCAATTGCTTGGAGTACCCGTTCTTCACCATACAAATCCATTTTCTCATTCCCTCTTCTATTTTTCGTCTATGCTCTTCCAACGTTTTGCCTCCACGATTTTCTCTTGACTTAAGAGCCTTGTGCCGACTTCCGGTCTGTTTCTAACATTGAGTATCAATAGCTGCTATGGTTTGATTTACAGGATTGGGATTCTTCTCCGTAACAGTAACAAGGGCTTCGATATCACCAATATCGTTGATGTTCATCGCAATCGTCTGTGTGGAATCAAAAATTTTGAATTAGAGGTATACATTCACGACAGAGAGGACAGGCAACCCATCATTCTTTGATCACTGACTCCTACTTTGAGTTTATCCATGTCCTAGACGTCGCCACTTCTTCAAAACCTGAATACTTGGGTGTTCTCCAAATTCTATTTTGCCCTAAATTCAAGTTTTCCAACACCCTATAATCTTACCATCGATGCACTAACGAAGACCATACCTTTCGCTCAATCTGTACATGCTAAACCGTCGTGTATCAGGAAACGCTAGACGACCACGACTGCTGCCTTCACTGCTCACTGCGTAGATTCCTATCGTGTCTTCCTACTACCGGTTATGCCTAATATAGTCCTAAATTCGATTTGTTAGAGAATGTAACTAATCACCAATATCTATTCAAACAATGCACTCCAAGTGTTTGTGCAAATGCCAATATAAGTATTTTGTTAGCATCTCCAAAAGGGTTGCAAGACAAACAACAAAAAAAGTAATTAATTTTATTAGAGACGATGGGTCATTTTCCATGGTGCATAACAAAGAACAAGCTTCAATGATGCTGGAAATATCAGAAGAACTTACAAGAAGATGCACCTCTACGTGAGAACTGACATGTTTCAAATTTTCAATTCGAATGTAAATATCATAAGCTTAATTTTTTTATACTTCAAGGTTTGATGTGGATGTTCCTAGAGGTTCTGTCTAAAGATAGTAGCTTTACACAAGGAGGAATGTGAATGTCACTCATTACTTTTACTCAATTGCAATATTTTATTTGAAAACTAAAACTGAAATTCAAAAGTTTTATGGGGAAGGAGGTAATTGCCATTGATAGTCCCTTTGGACGTTTGGGTGTTCTCAATCTTTATTATTTACTTTTGAATTAGTAATTGTATATATAACGTAATGCCCGTAGATTCAAGCTAGTCATTTTAGAGACAATAAGTGTCAAAAATGACTTTTTGATAGAAGGTTATTTAGACTTAATAATCTTAACTAAGTTATAGTATCTGTCACAAGGGTTCTATACATATAAAGAATGCTGAAATCCGAGTTATAACGAAGAAGTTATGACCTGTCGAAATTTTACGAAAAAACCAGCACGACACCGGAATCGTAAAAAGTGAGTTTGAAATAAAATATTTTTTAGCCTTAGAGATCTAAACAAAAGGTATAGTATAAGTTAAACTGAGAATGTGCCTAAAAAGAACGTCCAAATTTGACTTCGTATGAGGAAGTTATGATTTTCTAAGATTCAACACAACAGTGCACAGCCCGAAAATCGAATTTTAGATCGATATATTTTTAGTCGACACAACCTAAAAAAGAAATGAAGATCTCATTAATACCATCTCAACATTATAAAGACAGTCGAAAACGGACGTTGGATGAAAAAGTTATGAATATTTAACGGATTTCAACCGTCTATGTTTGTTAAAATATAAATTTAAATATAAAGTAAAAACTATCTGACGGAGTCTAAATGAAAGTTGTGGATCCTGTAGATACCTACGCGTGGATATAAATAATATCAAAAATGGAGCTCGTATACAAAGTTACGAACTTTAGAAGATTATTAGTTTTTGGGGTAACCAACGAGCGATAAGTGGCGCGATCTGAGCCATGGCTTCCTCACCATAGCTTGGAACGAGATTGCGTCACCTGGACGGATTACACCCAGCATAACTTGAAGTATGCCCAGTGTACTGCACTTTTGGCCATTATGCCCAATGTAATTCTTTAGTACGCCCCACGTACTCGGTGCTGGTAGCCTATAAATAGAGCTCGTTTTTCACTCACTTCTCCACACTTTCTCAACCAACTCTCTCCCAAGCACCCCCAAAGCCTCTATTTCTTTTTTTAGCATCTGCTAAGTGCTAGAGGCGAGTCCTGGAGTGCCAGAAGGCTCCAAGAAGAAGAGCTTTCGGCTCAGAAGTCCTGCGCCGCAGAGCCCGGCTCTTAGCCAAACCTCCTAGTAAGTAAGTTATGTTTAACCTACTTTAAGTATAGCTTAGTTTAAGTTTAATATCGTTATTATGAAATTATAAACAATATATATTATAAAATATAATATATATATATATATATATATATATATATATATATATATATATATATATATATATATATATATATATATATATATAAAGTTTTATTATAATATCTTTTAACTACTCGCGATACAGGGAATCTGGTTTGAAGGGTCGCATAGGGATGTTGGATTTTAGAAGTGCTATAATGCCAAAATGGTCATGCCCTCCGGTGTTTCATGTCTGGCTCCTGTTTGTACATAGTAGTTGAAAAGTATTGTTTAACAGTTATAAAACAATATCACTCATAAATAGTCACGAGAAATATTAGACTAAAATCTAGTAGCGATGATACTAGGTTTTATCGAAGGAAACTATAATTGTTAGAAGCGAAACGCTGCCTGAGTTTGGAATCATCACTTTAACAAGTGGGTGCATAGTCCCTTTCACGAACATGATTTTAATACAAGTATGTATTAAAGTATTAAATATATTTTTGTGTGTAAAATATTTGTTATTGCCTGAAATACATGTTAAAAGCATATATGATAATATATGATGATTTAGGATATAGAGTAAACCTAAATTAATAAAGAGGAATATTGGGTAGTATCTTCTTATGAGTACAAGTGAGATATACACAAAGGGTAGAACTTTAAAAATTGTCATTGATCCGAGAGCATGGATTAGACTTAGTCATTCGTCCTTAGTCCGAGAGTATGGAAAGAACATAGTTATTTGTCATTAATCCGGGAGCATGGATTGAGAAATAGTCAATTATCCCTAGTCCGAGAGTATGGAATATGCACGGTTATTGATCTGAGAGTAGGGATTAGACACACTTGATCAGGGAGTATGGATTAATTAAAGAGGTTAACTTTGGATCCAAGAGTGTGGATTGTGTTGTTGTAAGGAATCGACGGGGTGGGATAAGAATTGCTTATATAAGATGAAATTGTATATTTTGTAAGTTCTAATATATATATATATATATATATATATATATATATATATATATATATATATATATATATAGAGAGAGAGAGAGAGAGATAGGTTCAAATGTTTTTAGCAACTATTGTGTGCATGAATGCACCAATAGCAATTTAGGAATAATTAAATAATTAAAAATTGTAATAAGGGTAATTATGTAACTTTAGCAAGCTAATTAAAATAAAATCCCTTAATTTATGGAAATTACCATAAAAATCTGTTTGAACAACTATTTAACCCTAGCCTTCTATATCATACGTAATATGCATCCTCCAATTTTCTTATGGACGAATGAACATCGTCTGATCAAAAGAGGTAGTTAAACCTCTTGCTACAAATATGTTTCCCCATTCCATTGATTAAGAAGATGTTATTCTCGGTGGCTTCATCTCCAATCGAAGCTAGCTTTAACATCGAGGCAATTTTGGAGTCACAAGAAGCCGATATATGTTTCTACATCATTGCTACAGTTCCTTTGATTATCGGTTCTCTAGAGCTTTTCCAGATCGAGCAAACTTCATATGCCCTTATTTATCTGGTAACAACTCTTCAATTCTCATGAATTATGGTCTGTTAACTTGTGATTCGAATTATCTATTTCTATTATTCGCTGAATTGGATAGTTAAGTAAGGGAAAACCTAACGTGTTCAAGAAGAATGCGCTATGCATATAAGGTGCTCGTCTAAATTCCTGAAAGAAGGACCGACTTGTTGTCTTAGTGAACTGTTGGTGGAATTGAAAATATTTCGATTTGCACACCAACTATTTGTTAAAATGTCTCGGTGAACTTCAGTTACTTATTCCAAAATTTGTTCTTTCTTGCTTAATGAGTCACTTTCAGTTAGAAGGAAGCATAGAAAAAGATGTTAGTTAGTATGGTTCCAGCTCTTGTATCAGGGCCTTATAATGTAAGTAACATTCTTTATTCATGTGTTCAAGTTGATGAGTTTCAATTTTTATGTGGATGCTCTTCTTTCTTACAAAATAATCTTTTCAAATCTTATCTGAAAACCACGTTTCTATGATTTAATGGGTCTGCCGTATATTTTTTTTTCTTTCGGTTATGGAATACAATTCTAGGTTGTTTGTGCCCTTTTATTTTTCATCAACACAAATTAATTTACTCTTTGAACCTTGTGCTATGCATTCTAAATCATGTTGCTGGAAATTATGTTTATAGGTAAACTATTGCAAGTAAATAAAATATGGTTTTTGGCTTGTTTGATGATAATGTCTAACAAGTGTTTGATGAAATGCCTGAAAGAAAATTTAAAGAATTTAACCTTGTGGTATGCATTATGTCAGAATTACTAGCAGTAAATACAATACCTTTGAATGTATTCTATATATTCTACCAAAATGTATTCTACCAGAATAAAATCGATGTATTATGCCAGAATGTATTATATGTACTTTGTCATATTTTATATATTCTACCAGAATATATTAAGTGATAGTTAATTGCAAGTAGCATGGTTTTAACAATTATTAGTTTTTGTTGTATTTGTGATAGTAATGGATGGAAGAAGGCGTTGAAGAACTTGATATTCTTTTAGAATATGGATAATTATATTAAAATTTAAAGGATTTTAGTCTATAAGAATATATTAGAATGTTTATTCTTTTTCAATATCTGATTCAAAAATTTTTTTATTCTTCAATAATATTTTATTAGAATAAAATTCTTAAAGAGCATCATTCTAACAAAATATTCTGACTGAATAAAATCGGTAAAAATTTGAAATTGAATTAATTAAAAAACTCAGATTTTTTTAAATTAGGAGAATTAATCATCCCTAAAAATCCGAAAATTTCCTTTTATAAATATAGGTGATTGTCCAAAATACCCTTTTGCTTAAAATAGTGTGATTATATGCTACATGTTACCTCATTGTAATATCATACACTCTTAAATCATGTCCATTGATTAATTTCATCAATTGGTCCAGATCTATGCATTCTGGCACACAATACTTTGTAAAAACAAAATAACCTAAGTCGATACACACACACACACATTTATATACATATATATATATATATATATATATATATATATTATAATCTAAAATTGTGAGATTGAAATACCTATCTACTCACCAGGTTTCCCTACCTGACCCACTCAATTTATTTGTATTACAGGTGTCGATACGAAGTTACATTACACTGAGAGATTAAAAGAGATGTAAATCACTAGTGTAAATGAATGTAGGTCTGTTTATGCTTATGTTTCTGTATTGACGATAAGATTCCAAAGTTTTAAGTTAAACAAAATACATTTCTTCGGAAATGCTTTGATAAAATATTTATCATGTTTTCTGAGAGCAAATTCCGTAATATTATTCCTTAAAATGAATACTGTGATTTTCAAATAAGTATAAATAAAATTTTTAAAATTACCGTGAATTTGAGGATGTCACATATAATTAGTTTATAATATGATTTGCAGGTTTTGTTAGTTCCTGCAACATTTACAAAGGTAACACGCAACTCACACTGGGAAGTTCTTCTTCGTCCACGTGCCATAGAGACTCATTATTATGTATGAATCATTAACTTGCATATTTTATCTTTTTATTTTGAAAAAAATGAAGGAAGTTTTTTTGTATGGTTTTTAATGTTGAATTAGGTTATAGCTGTTGCACACAGTGGGAAACATAGTGAGAAAAAAGAGAGTTTTGGTGATATGTTAATAATTGACCCTTCGGGCAGTATTTGGTCGTTTACCATGTAAGAAGTTGATATTTTCATTTTTTTTTAATAATTTCCTTTGTTTTATATATGTTTAAAAATTCAAAGAAGTTTTTCAGATAAAGTGTCAACGAGAATTACGGTTGTAGATATATATTTCTTATCGATCGAATCAGTGAGAACGAAGATGCCAATTCCCAGGTAAAATCCATGGTACATGACAAGACAAAACATGTTGAATTGTATTTGTGTTTAGTGTAAAAATGCAAAATATGTGAATGTCCTTATCATATTGACGGTGTTTTATTGGTTCTATTTATTTTTTTCAGCATCGGAAGCTGATTGACTTCTGGAAACAAGTCTCCAAATGATTATGACGATTTAAAGGCTACTATTTGTGATCATGATTCATGAAGTGAATAGTATGTGAATCATGAATATTGTAAGCTCCATCTCAATTTATTTGGGTGAAACCATTTTGAAAAGGATTTTAATTTTGATTAAAGATAATTCTAAAATATATCATTCATTACGCCAGCTTTTCATATGTTATTGGTTCTGTTCTCAGGCTAATAAGAAATAGGTGTTTGGGAATCACCCAGCCCGACTCAAGAAAAAAGAGGTGACTAATGCACCAATGAGTGGGAAAGATGATTTTGTTCTTATGCCATTTGGAGGTGGAAAAAGCCTCACCTCTCAGGTACTGCATTCCATCTTCTACCAATTTAAAAATATTCAACAAGCTTTTTCTAATGAATTTCCTTTAATTTTTAAAAAAAAAAATCAAGTTCCCTACTCTTATTAGTCTTGGTATAACATTGGTAATCTTAGCCATTGAGTAAATTGTCTTGTTGCACATGAACATTTTATCTCATTCATCTGTATTGGGTTTTTTTAATTAGGAGGTGTTATATTATATTTTTGGTTCATGCTTCTTACTTAAGTGCCACTATGGAGTATAGTAAGAAAAATGGGATTTTAAGAGACCTTTGCTCCGGCTAATGTAACTACAAGTTGTCATATGTCACAACGGGTAACACATCAACTAGTCTTAACCTCATATTAACAATGTCGACATGATTTACTATTATTATTATTAATTGTAATAATATTGAACACACTCTTAATAGAGTTTACTTAAAATGTTGATACTTACCTTCATTTTAACCAAATATGATGCAATGGCAAAGGGGTTGTATCGACATAGCTCCAAAATAGAGTCTCACAAGGTTAGTGACCAACTAACAATGCATATTCCTTTACCAATTATAGAGTAACTCAAGTTAGTTATATAATCATATGATTTATTAAAATGTAACATATTTTGAAAATAAATCTATTTATATTTTCTTGTGAATAAGCCATTTTTCCTATTATTTAATCGAAAATACATATTAATTGGTCATAATCTTACAGTGAAAAGATATGTATTTATATTTGCTTTCGAAAAACTCACTTTCAGCTAGTCCTCCAAAATCTTGGAGGGTGACAAGATAAACATTCTTACTGTGGTAAGCTACTGGAAGATATTTTCAACATCTATGCTAGGAATCAAGTATATAGATCAACTTTGGTAATGTTTTTGAAGAAACTCATAGGGTTTAATGCGTTTTGGAACTCCCATCATTTGTTTGTCGTGTGTACACAGAGGTCAAACTGGTTGGTTTTGGTTTACCTAATTTTTAATCATTTTTAATTTTTGATCATGCCATAAATTTTTGTAATTGTTTTGATAGGAGTCTAAATGTGATAAAAGTCTGACAATGGAGAGTGTCGGATAGGTGAATTGATAGCCAAAGCTATGGAGAGAGTTTTATTGAAAAGTGTTTGTTGTTTCAATTTTATATTCAAATTACCTTTTATTTTTATTATTATTATTATTATTATTATTATTATTGCTTTTAGGATGGGCTTAATCGACTTAAACAAAATTTTGTATTCATGGTGATACTGAAGTGGCACAAGCGATGAAGAGAATCGATTGGCTTCATCGCCACCGCCACCTTTACTCGGTTCAAGCAAAACATATCACTGGAATGGAATTGGCAGAGGCGAATAAATCTTGGACCATAGTTGTCATTGTTGGGTTATATATGTTAAAAATGACTAATGCGATTTAAGCAGTATCATAAAATAAGAATCACTATTTATGTTTGATATTCATTTTATAATGAAATGTTATAATTGAGTTTTTCAAAGTACAATGTCCTAATAAAAAAACCGTCCTGCGACGAAGCCTGAGTTCACCTTCTAGTTAATTATTAACAATCACAAGATATGAGATTAGCCAATCCACTTTTTATAAGTTTTATTTAAAAAATTAGATCAAATTTAACTAAAATATAATTTACTAAATAATAAATATTATATAAAATATACTCTAATAAATGAAGATTTTTTTTTTCTACATGTCACATTCTTATTCAAATTTTCAAATGTCATTTTGTGGTTATTTTGAATTAATTTTTTTCTACATGTCATTTTATGAGTTTTCTTGTTTTATTAAATTCTACATAATATCTTAATATAATAATTAAATAAATATAGTAATAAATGGATATCAATTTTATTAATGAACTTGCATTTTAATTTCAAAATTCTCAAATTAAAGTTCATTAGTTTTTTTTTATTTAAATTATTAGTTTAAATTTAAAACATAAAAAACCATTTCAGTTTTAATAATTTATTATTTTTCGTATTTTCTATAAATTCATAGTTCTCAATTCTATAAACTTTCATATATATATATATATATATATATATATATATATATATATATATATATATATATATATATATATATATATATATATATATATTAAATTAACTCATGTAATACATGTGTCTCACAACTAGTTATTTAATTTTCTCTCTATCCCAAATAAATAGTTCATGTTTTTTTTGTCCCAAAATCATTATCCACTCCTAAAACTAAATATCATTTTTACCAAAATATCATTCATTATTAGTTAAACTACAATGGAATTAAATGAAACTACCATAGAATTAAATGCAACAAAAATGTATAATTGTCATCTCATTTAATAAAGTTAGTGATAATTAATGTTTCCTTAATTTGTGTGTTTTTGGTCTGTAGACAACAATTTTGGGACTGAGGAGTATATTAAATTCGGTGCGGTTCGGTTATTTGCAGTTAATGAAAGACTAAAAACCGCAACACATCATCGGTTTCGGTTTATGCAGTTTTTTTCGGTTATTTTTAAATATGTTTCGGTTTTTCTCACCCCTACTTATGAGTATGATGAAGATGTTAGAATTAATTTATGCATAAATGAGTTGTACCTAGAGTTAGGATACTCAAGAAGTGTGTTACTCCACAGTTTTTGAAACGATGGCAAATATGAGACTTTAAGAGCTAGGAATTCATACACATAAAATATCGCAAGGAGAATAACCATACTTCCTTCTCTGAAAATTGGTATCTAGATGTGTTGTTAAGATTATGTTATGTGAAAGATATCATATGTTGATTATTATTAATTAATGATGCATGAGTTAAGAAGTTGGCATTAATAAGATTTATTGTTGAGTAATGATGTATGAGTTAATAAGCCAACTTAACTCAGATTTATAGTTGAGTAATGATATATGAGTTAGTAAGTTGTCAAAACTGAGATGTATAGTTGTGTAATGTTATATGAGTTAATAGTTAGATTAGGTGTCTAAGCCCATAACTATATTTGGTATGTACTTGATTTGATTATGAGCATGGTCCTTTTGGGTTGCCTTCAGTCATGCAACTTGAAAGGGTGATTAGTGGAGAGAGAGAGAGAAAGAGAGAGAGAGAGAGAGAGAGAGAGAGAGATTATGATTTATTATATGAATAATAAATTGATACTCAGAATGATTTTATTAATATATTACAAGATCAATATATTATTTGGAAATCATATTATTAATTGGTAGTTAATCAGAAACTAGTTTGAGATTAATTTTGGGATCAAAGGAACTAATTAATAATAGAGGGGTTGTTTTGCAAATCATTGATAGATGTGAAACTAGGCTTAGAACTCCTTGTAAGTGGAGTGGATGAAATTTATGGGTGATCCCATAAGATATCGTCGAAGGGCATATCAAGGAGGTCCGTAGGTTGCTTTGGTCTTAAGTTAGGAACTAGGTTTTCCTTATTCAATTCCAACTTGAAGAATAAGCAACTTAGCCTTATATAAACCTCCTAAACCCAAAGGATTTCGGCCCCTATATGATTCTAAGAGAACCTGGCCGATTTCATCATCTCTCCAAGTTATCCTTGTTATGTTGAGTGTTTGTGACTCCATTAGAGGTGCAACACTTAGGGCACTAAGCTTTCAAGAGTCAAGGTTTTCAAGGATTGTCTTGTTATTACTACATAACCAGTAAGGTAACCATTAAACCCTAATATATATATATATATATATATATATATATATATATATATATATATATATATATATAAACACACACACACACACACACATATATATATATATATAAACACACACACACACACACACACACACACATATATATATATATATATATATATATATATATATATGAATTTCTAAATTGTATATACTAGATCTAGGGTTCATTGCTTTGGTATTCAATTTGCATGTTCAATACAAAAAAACTTAGATTCAAAGCAATTAGGGTTGCATGTTCACATATGAATGTTGTAATGCTAAAAAATCAGTGGTAAAAGAGCCTAGGATGTTTTTCAATTGAATAGATGCAATAGTGAAATTGTTCATAGCTGTAAAAAACTGAAATATGTTGTCTGACCAGGGAACTCGATGAGTTCAAAGTAGAACTCGACGAGTTGGGTGAATTCAGAGCCCAACTCGACGAGGTGACTCACTTGTAACCTAAAATTTTGATTTTCTGATTAGTTTTTGATTTGGATAATTACCATAACTCGTTTTTATTGCCTAAAAGCAATTTTTCTAATTGGTATCATCATATCCTTATCAAAATTAAAGATTTGGTTAAATTTGGATAATATAAGATTATTTTTATTCATAGATTTAACCTAGTAATTTTAAATAATTTCAAACTGCCCCTTTTGGATTTATAGTTTAAATTTGAAATTGAAAGTTTTGAGTTTAAAATTTTAAATAGTTAAACCCTCGCATTTTGAATAGTTTAAAACACACCCATGGATTTTATTAATTAATTAATTAAGTGTTTTAATTAAAATACTATTAATGAATTCATAAATATGGTTTAAATTTAATTGAATTAAAAGTTTAATTTATTAAAGGATTAAACCACCTTAGTATTTTAAAAGTATAAAATACACCCTTATACTATATAATATTAAAAGTTTATATATATATATATATATATATATATATATGTGTGTGTGTGTGTGTGTGTGTATAAGTAAAGATCAATCATTCTTACCGTTAATAAGCTTCATTCACGAAGCTGGTCTATAAGGGGTGTTTAAGGAAGCGGCCTGTAAAATGACTGTCATTGGGTATCCAATCTTACCTACCGCACCCTTGACTAGTGGAGAGTCGTTAGTCGAATGGGTAGCATAGGACATCCTCATTAATAAGTATAATGAAAATATAAAGTAACTAAATGTTTTTATAGATTCTCAATCTTAGTTACATTAGGAAAATGTGAACTTGATGCTAACCGATGAAATTGCACATTGAGCCTTATTGGTCGTTAGTGGAGCGTGTGTGATTAACCGAAACACTAATATGGGACTAATGAAGGATGCCAATGGGTAGCTCGAAAATTATCGTTGATCAATGGAGCGTATGTGGTTACCCGGCACATTGATTAGGTGATAAATGGCATCGAGAGTACCAAGCTAATTTGCATGGTTATTTATACCTTGTTTGTGATCCTCGGTATCCCAGTCACAAACTTGAAGGCATAATCGAGATTAAACATGCCATTGAAAAGTTCAATGAATCTCAAAAGATCTAGGAATTTCATTTAAAACCTAATTCATTTAAAAAATTTCGTTTTCATGCCGGAATTGGTAAATCGTCATTTACCTACCTTCAAATAATTTATAATTGGATTACGACATCCCTCTTTCGAATTGTGATTTATTGTGTTGGGTCATAGCCTTGATATTTCATTTGGGTGACATATCAAGGATAAAATCAACTAACTTGGATTTTTCCCTTTTTTGTAGATGTCTAGTTCTGACAACTATGGTCTTCCTCGATCCTTTGGAAAAGGTTTTCCTCTTGAAGATGATCTTCCATGTGTCGATCAAGATGAAAGATCATTCCCTTATCCGTGCATTAGTATAAATGGAAATCATAGTTCTCTACCTCCACCACCTCCAGTGATTCTCCTTGACCCACGTTTTCATCGACTTGAAAAGTTCAAGGTCACTCAATCCCTGTTGGCAAGCAAACACTAATATGGAAGGTCTATGTGTGCACACATCTTAAAGATGAAGTCACACATTAATACACTAGGGATGTTGGGAGGAAGCTGGCATTTGACTTGGTTCTTCTGTCACTCCCTGAGTCATATAGTCAATTTGTTAAAGACCATTATGTGACTGAAAACGATGTGACCCTTATTGATCTGAAATATTTGCTCATTGTTGCTGAAGTAGCAATGCTTTGGTGCACTGGTCACGAAAATTTGATTGGAAGATCTACATCCAAATTTTCTATGGACATTGGTGATGACAAATGTGATTGTCTAGAAATGGTTTCTCCTCCTAAGGGAGAGAAATCGGCCACGGTCGAAAAGTCTGATCGTAAGACAAAGGAAAATTCTGAGATAGTCCCATGTGTCATTACCAAAGAGTCCATATGTTTTTATTTCCAAGAAAAGGGGCATTGGAAGCGAAGCTGGCGTATCTACCTGAAAGATCGCAAGGATAGTAAAGTCAAATTGTATGACTCTACTTCAGGTAAATTCACTATCTAACTCTCTTAAGTTCTTATTTATAGATTCTTAATACATGATTTGATAATATTGCATTTTTATGTTTTTTAGGATCAAAGAAAAGGAATGAAGCTTAAAAGAAGAACTAAGTTGAGTCTGATCGTGAAGAGATGGATTTTAATCACA